ATGATATTCGACAGCACTCCTGATATTTCACATAAGGATCAAACGAGCCAAGTTTTACGCTATGTTATGATCGATGGAGATAAAGTGAAGGTTGTGGAATCATTTGTCGATTTCATTGAAACAAAAGGTAAAACCGCCGAGAATATTTCAATGATGATTTTGGAAAAATTAGAGAAAGACGGAATTGATATTCAAAATTGTAGAGGGCAAGCATATGATAATGCTGCGGTGATGGCTGGTGTTCATACTGGTGTTCAGAAACGTATCAAGGAAATTAATAAAAAAGCAGAATTTATCGCTTGTACAAATCACTCGCTGAATTTGGCGGGTGTTCATGCAGCTTCTGTTGCTGTGAATTCTGTTACCTTTTTTGGATGTGTGGAACGTTTGTTTGTATTTTTTTCTTCATCAACCCATCGCTGGGATGTTCTAACTTCAGTCACTGGTCAAAATGTCAAGCGCATAATAGAAACTCGGTGGAGTGCGAGGGGAGAAGCTGTAAGTGTTGTAAAGAAACATTTCTCAAAAATCTTAAGTGCCCTAGAAAAGTTAACTGGTGAAGAAGAAAATACAGCTACCAGGGCAGATGCTGGTGTTCTACTTGGTGCGTTGCAATCATTTTCCTTTTTGTGCTTTCTTGGCCTGTGGGGACCCGTCCTTCTAGAAATTAACGACACACAGACTTACCTCCAAACCAAGGGCTTGAACATACAACAATGTGATATAAAACTCAGGGCATTAGAAACATTTCTAGTTGAAAACAGGGACAAGCAAGTGAGTAATGGAGTTAACTATGCCAAAGAAATTTGCAATGATCTGGGGATAGTCATGGAGCGTCAGCGTCGACCCAAAAAGAAGAAACAAATGTTTGGTGAAGGATCACGAGATGCTGAATTGCCATACGACATTGAATTGAGGAGAGAAATGTTTTCTTCGCTGGACAGAGTGATCCAAGAAACAACTTTGAGATTTCAACAGCTTCATGAACTTGCTGAGAAATATGCCTTCCTTACCCTATTGAATCTTTTGGATGATAAATATGAGTGTCAAATAGATCACGATCACGACGACATTGATAAAGAGGAGTTCCTCGTTGAGAGAAAAAGACTTCAGCATTTTGTTGCTGTTGCTGCTATAACTATTAAAGACAGAATACAGACGTGGAAAGAAGGCCCCCTTGAACTTTTGCAGTTTATTCAAAAGTATAACCTTGGGAACTCGGTTCCAAATATAGTAATAATGCTGAGGATTTTCCTCACAATTGCTGTTAGTGTTGCTACCTGTGAGAGGAGTTTTTCGAAACTAAAACTGATCAAGAATTACTTAAGATCTACTATGAGCACCTTGCGGTTGAGAAATCTTGCCATACTGTCTATAGAGCGACAATTGACAGATGAAATAGTTTTTGACAATGTCATTGAAGAATTTGCCAACAAAAAAACAAGAAAAGTTACTTTGTAGAAAGTTGTAGTTTTCATTTCAAAAATAAAGATGGTCCTAATTTTTTACACTTTTTTACTTTTTTCCCTATCCTATATGTCGTTTTGCTTTTTGTTTAACTGTTACTTATAAAGTTTAAGTATGTTTGGTGTGTATTTAAAGCATACTATATTTGAGTATGTGAAAGTACAGTAATATTATAATGGTACACAAACTATTTGATATATATATATATATATATATATATATATATATATATATATATATATATATATATATATATATAAGAGTGAGTCACTGTGCAATATGTATTTTTTGTGGGGGCACGGGGGGGGTGGCGGCAAACTCAAGGGCCGCCCCGGGCGGCACACACTCTAGCTACGCTACTGCGCAAATCGCTCTAAAATGTCGCTAGAAAAAACAAAAAGCTCTAGATCTAGCTACAAAGTCGCTAAGTTGGCAACTCTGGACTGCAGCTCTGCAGCCCTATGCACGAGCCGCCACTGGTACTTACCAACAGTGCGTAACAGAGACGTGACCGATCGCCCAAGTGGCTACCGAGTCGATCATTTGGTGAAGAGGATAAAAGAAATGGAAAAGTAACAGAGACGTGACCGATCGTCCAAGCGGCTAACGAGCCGATGAGTGGTGAAGAGGATAAAAGAACAGAAAGAAAAAATCTCTTACAATGCTCTCAAATACTTTTCATAGTATGCTGGTCAGGCTTACCGGTCTATAGTTATTCGTGGAGTGACGATCGCTTTTTCTTGAAGGTAGGACTCACATAAGCCATTTTCCAATCACTGGGGACCTTTTGCTAATCCAGGCATTTACTTAGATTATTCCTGCTAAAATTCGGGTTATAAATTATTTAAACAATTAAGGCAATAGAGATCACGTTGGTCACGAAGTCCACCAACCACAGAACACGTTCACAGAATTTTCGAAGGGACTTGCTGAGTACCTAACAACAAATTTTGCAAGGACTGATGGACATGAACTGGCAGGGCACTAAATTGAGTGGACAAAATTTTATGGTAACCTCTATGGTGTCCGCGGTCAGGCGAAAAACACTACTGCTGTAACAAACTGGAACATATTACCAGACCATATCAAAACCAGTTCCGGCATTATACAATTCAAAACTAAAACAATACATAACAGACGCGGCTACAGCAAGAAAAGTTTCTATATTACTAAACCGCTGAATGTAGTTTTGTAGTGGATTCCTCCCCTACAAACGCCGTTTGTCACTGACTAGCCGACCCTCCAATTCCCCAGTGTATGCCTCGTGGTCTTGGTCAGCAACCAGCGCCGCCTTACATGACTGAGGTCAACTATTAAGCCACGCCTACCTCCGCTATATAAGACCTCACCTCGTGGTGACCTACCTCTTTCTACCTACAGCCACCAGCAAGCAACACCTCCTCCTCCGCCGCTGTCTGGCGGCTCCCGCTCCAGCCGGCGACCATGGCGACCCACAAGCTGGTCCTCCTCTGAGCACCCTCATCAACCAGCTTTCTCTACTCAACGCTCGTAACCATGCTGCCTTCCCAGCACCAAGCTGCATTGTAAATCCAATACAATATGTATACAGAGAGCACAGTGTGAGTTTCCTTTCACCATCCCATCCCGAGTGTGAACCAAACATCACGTACCCCACAAATGGTGACCCCCGGAGATTCCCACTCACACAGGATGGAGGAGAAACCAATCACTCTCCCAGTCTTCAAGCAACATGGAAGACTGGCTTATCCACACAGAGGCAGCTCTCATCGGCTCTACAGCTACTGTCTCTACACAGCAGGTTAGACACCCTATAGCAGCACTGCTACTCTAAGCAGACACCAGCTCCTCTTCCTGCTCCAAGCACCACGTCCTACCGACCCCAGCACACCCGTCCTGCCTCAGACGCCGCCCCCGGCCCAGCAGTACCCCCTGCCACTGTCCTGGACCCTCCTCCGCTCCTGCCTGGCAGCGCCTGCTCCCAACGCGGCCCATGCGCCTGACGCGGCCCCCACACCTTTTTATTTTTCTCTCCCTCAGGTATTCCCTGCTACTGTCCTGCACCCTGCTGCTGTCATGGACCCTGCTGCTGTCATGCACCCTGCTGCTGTCATGGACCTTCTTCCTGACGTAGCCCCTGCTCCAGACCCATACACCCCAGCAGGCACATCTGAGGACTCTGTACCTGCCGCGAGAGAAGCACAACATTCATCGCCTCCACAACCCTCCTTCTCCCTCTCTTCTCCCACAGATCTCGTGTATCTAGACAAAGTTGTCTCCCCTAGCGGCCGGCTCATCCACGCCCTCGCCGTTATGTCTCACGTGTGGCATACAACCCAGCCGACAACAAGTCTCATGCACAGCCCGTTCTGCCTCACATGTGGGATGTAACCTTGCAGACAACAAGTCTCCTACACCGCCTGGAGGGAAGGGGGAGTATTGTAGTGGATTCCTCCCCTACAAACGCCGTTTGTCACTGACTAGCCGACCCTCCAATTCCCCAGTGTATGCCTCGTGTTCTAGGTCAGCAACCAGCGCCGCCTTACATGACTGAGGTCAACTATTAAGCCACGCCTACCTCCGCTATATAAGACCTCACCTCGTGGTGACCTATCTCTTTCTACCTAGAGCCACCAACAAGTAACACCACCTCCTCCGCTCCTGCCTGGTGGCTCCCGCTCCAGCCGGCGACCATGGCGACCCACAAGCTGGTCCTCCTCTGAGCACCCTCATCAACCAGCTTTCTCTACTCAACGCTCGTAACCATGCTGCCTTCCCAGCACCAAGCTGCATTGTACATCCAATACAACATGTATACAGAGAGCACAGTGAGAGTTTCCTTTCTCCATCCCATCCTGAGTGTGAAACAATAACACGTACCCCACAGTTTTGCAGTAATGATCAGCCAGCTTTGGATAGACCAAGCGTAATATAATGCTTGTTAAATATTTTATCAAATAAACTTTCGCTGATGCTCCTGTAAGCACAATATTATTGATTAGAAACCAATCGTAAGCCTAAACAAAGGACTCTGCTGGAAGTAACACCGACAGCTTTGTCGGCTATCCTTGGTCAAGTTGCATCAAATTAAGTGTATACACTACTCCCAGCCTAATCCCATGGCCTATGTGCACCGCAATAATAATAATAATGATAAGTATTATTATTTTTATTATTATTATTATTAGTTTATTATTATTATTATTCAGTAAAATTGTTATACATTGTCTATACTCATGCTGAACTGCATAGTTTATAAACATGTTTATCTAATTACAAACATGTATTATAATTTTACTAATTAATTATTTTTATTAATATACTATGAATTATGCTTTGAACAATATGAAAAATAAGCCGTGGTTCACAGCGCGTTGAGTCCGGACATGTAGTTGACACTTGTTGTGCAGTCTCGAACACCCAGATTATTATTTATGTTGAAAGATAAATCTGTATCATGTAGATTTTTTTTATTTCAATATATTTTAATAAAATTATTAAAGATGAGTATAAAAAATATATATTATTTGTTTAATAATAAAACGTTCCTCTGAAAATATAATGGTTTTTAATACGCATTATAGTTCTCTGTATCATGCAGTAGTGGTCGCCTTCAGCCCCTCCTCCTGGTTGACAGGTTGACGCCTCAGTTACAGCAGGATTGTCATATAGTACAATATTATTTGAGGTGTCCAATATATTTATTTACTTAATTGTAAAAATAATTATCTGTGAATATTCTTGTTGGTAGTTTTTTATACATGTTGCCCATAATGTCCCACAACATTTTTGGGTCCAGTTCTAGGTATATCTTGTCATTTCTAAAACTTTTATTCCTAACGTTTTCATCGCAAGTGATTCGTTTCGAGAAAATCATATTAATTTGTTAGATTATGGGCAATTTGTAAAAATTTATCACTTAAAATCCTAAAATTTGCTGCATGACCAAAACGATAATAATGCCTAGGTAGTTTTGAAAGTTGTAGGCACTCTTTTTTTATGACATTTCCTTCACAAATGACTTATATGTGCTGAGGTCCTTCGCCCCGGATAGGTTAGGTCGGGTCAGGTCAGGTCATTTGCGAGGGAAATGTCATAGAAGAAAAGGATCAGGGTGAGGAGACGGTTTGCACCAGGAGGCTAATATTTATGACTAACCCACCGATGCATTATTTGTTTCTATGTTTATTTTTTACTCTGTGTTCATCAGTAATTTCTGATATGATAATCATTTCTTTAGACAAAAATTCCGGATGTGAACAGCCAATCATATTGACACACTCTAATCAATGCCAGTGTACAGTTATGAGCCGCACGGTCCGGGTGGCTGCTCTCACATCCACAAAAAATATAAAATTATACCATATTATTGTACTGTAAGTTCTTTTTTGTTTAATGTTCTGAGGGGCGAAGCCTCTCGGCTAGGAAGTTAGGTAAGGTTAGGTAGGTTTCATTGGTTAGGTTGTTGAAGTCTAACAATGCTTCTGCCGCTTGTTTTTCATGTCAACTAAGGTTAGGTTTAATTTAGAAATAACCACTTTTTAACACATTTGCCAAAACTATGACAAGGTACACTGTAAAACACAGTGAAATTACGGCATTTTTAAAATTGGTTTCTATGAAAAATTGGCGGCAGGTCAGTCATCAATAATTGCAACAAGTTTTCAGGAGATGTTAATTGGATGATACTGGTGTAATAAAATTGCAGCAACAATTTTTTTTCTTTTTAGCCTATCTTTTGATCATAAATTACTTGTGAGTGGGCAGGGCATGATAGAAAATGGAAATAATGAGGTAAACACACTGCAAACACTGATCATATGGCAGTAATTTCACTTCTCTAGGTCCGTTATATGCAAAGAAAAAATATCTACCGTAATTATGGCACCGTAGGAAATCCCGTGGCAACCATGTTTTGGTTCGCTCTCTTCTGCTATACAGGAGCTTTCACAGTATTTGTTTACATGTTAAGAAGCAAACGATATCATTGGGTGTGTTTATTAGAATTTACATTGGATTGAATTCATTCATTTTTCTAGAGGTGTTGTTTGGATGATAGTAAGAAAATCTAAATGATAATGCACAGGTTAGGAAGTTAATTGAGGTAATGTTATGTAGGTTAGGTCAGGTTCTAATAGATTCTGTGCATTTTCACTTAATTTTTTTTGTTCAGCATTATGCAAATCAAATCTCCAGAAATTTTGGTTCAATTCCATATTTATTTTTGTAGCTAACTCTATCCTCCACTTTTCCCGAGAAAAATGTTTTAGAATTGTTTAAACTATTGATTGTAAAGATAACATTTCAAAGACTCCTGTGTTGTCAGAAAGAAAAAAAATTTACCCTTGGTTTAATCTGAAGTGTTTATCTGCAGTACTGACCACTGAGACATGGCAGAAGACAGGGAGATATTGCGTGAAGTGTGGGATGGCCGAGTTCCTGTGTGTGTGCAGTTGGCCAGTGAAGACTGTAGTACTCTGAGTGCCCCAGATTCTTATTATTTAATGATTCCAAGGTTGTCTTACCTCCCAATGGTGATGGATAAGGTTGGTATTGTTACATTTTGTAAGTTTAAATCCTGGTGTTCTTTTGTTACTGTTGTTATAAGGGACTCTTCTCTCCATGTGCAGTATTATTATCACCCAACAATTCCTATTGCTTTGCCTATTCGACACATAACAATTATAATGGGATAATACTCTGGGTAATAGTGAAGGAGATGGTTAACACATTTAATACATTTTCCTCCTCTTTTCAATCCTAAATTGCCTGTAGTGGGCATGGCATGAAAGAATTTATTTTTATTTTTTCATCCATTTCAGGTTTGGTTCTTTAAGATCTTTTGTTTTTTTCATTTGTCTTGTTGGGTTAGGTTTGGTTTATACACCGGGGTCCTGGATAGGAGGTTAGTTCAGGTCCTTCTGGTTTCTCTGGTTAGGTTACACATGTACAGGGTACAGGTATATTGATACAGTATTTGAGTTGTTAGGTTAAGATGTTTTTGTTTGGCAAAACTTTTTGCGTGTTTTTATCCCACAATTTCCCTCGACTTCAAAGCTGTGCCTACTTTGTGCGATCAAAATTCCCTTTTTTAAGTGAAATATATCTACCTGTGTTAGGATTTCTTCTTTATTGGGGAGTGTGTCAACAGTTTAACCCTAAACATGGTGGCACGACAATTTCCACAACGAATTTCATAAAAAAAAAAAAATGCTAATGATAAACATCAGTAGGAAAATTGTAATTCTTCCAAATTTTCTTTTACAGTAATGTATAGAATTTTTTCCTAGAGTGGCTCATAATAACATGTAACATTGTAAACTACAGTACTGTATTACCTTTCTTTTTTAACTCCAGAATATACTGTTCCAAAAATTTATGAGGATTGGCAATTACAGTAACGATTTTTTCCAGCTAGTGAGAGAGTTACAGTACAGTATGCAATAAAGGATAAAGATTTCAGTGAGGGGATAAACTAGGAGATAAATGGGAAACAGTATTCTTTAAAAATTATGATAATACAGTACAGGACACCACCACATGGTTCTGCAGAGTTACTGTAGCCATAGAACAGAACAGCCGATGAGAGGAAAGCAGTTGGTGGACAGGAAGGAACAAAAAATTGGTGGAGAAAAGGGGCAAATCCTATGGTACTTTTGTTACTTCTTCCACAAGCAACCAGGGTTAACATATCCAGTACTTTACACTGTTCTTTATTTTTAGAACATAGCTAGTTAATATTTATACAGTTAACCATGGTGAAAATACATTCTCAAGCTCTTTCCTTATCACATTATTTTAATACTTTAATATCCACTGTTACCTTGCTTCCATGTCTTTGTATAAATAATGTTGTTATATAAATTTTCTGCCAGGATATGTTATATCCTGACTGCAAATGACAAAATAAATTGTAATTTTGCAGGTTCGTAAACATTTCTTAAGGTTTACATCACAAGAGCTTCAGGAAGCAGAAATGTGGCTGGAAAGTGATGGAACACCTTTAAAATGGTGAGAAATATTTAATTTTATTTTATTATTTATAACTTTGGTTAGAAAATGCAATGCCACAATTATAGTTTAAATTTTCAGTATCCAAATAGGTGATTCAAGCCATCTCAGGACATCGATTGAGTTATAATTCCCATCCATTGGCCTCATAAGTCTGCCACCCCCTTCAGTAGTGTGCAAATAGAAACTCTACCATTGATCATTCACAGCACTTCCTCTAAGCTGCTGGGGCACTTTATGATCAAACACACTCTAGCAACTATTGTTTCTTAACATTTTCAAACAAAAGAGTTTCCAGTACAGTATCACCTTACATGAGCAGTGAAGTCTCTCAGCTTCTCTGCATTTATTGTGAAGTATCCACTTGATTTAAGATGTTATCTCTATTCTGACCAGAAATTAGGCTAATGTTTCAGCAAACTCGATAAGAAATGCCAGAAGATGAATTCCTATCATAGCATAAAAAAATAACCAAACTATTAGATCACTTGGCCAAGACTGGTGATACTAACAGTAATGTCTATGTTAGCAGGAATCTCTCTTATCCGGAACTCTCCATCATTCCCAAAGCTGTAATTTTCCAGATAATTCCGGCTTTGGGAACGATTTTCTGAGGGGCATATTTTCTGGAAAATTCAAAGAAATTTTTCCCGGTACCCAGAAAATTCCGGGGATGGGTTTTTTTTATGGGTTTAAGAGACGAAAATCAGAGTAATTTTCTGGAAATTCCAAGAAAAATTTTCCCGTACTCGGAAAAATGTGGGGATGGGTTTTTTTTTCTGGCTGTGAGAGATGAAATAATGCATCATTCTCGAAAATTCCGATACCCGGAAAAATTCTGGGTGATGGGGGATTTCTTTCTGGGTTTGAGAGATTATGTAATGCACAATTTCTGGAAGCTCCAAGAAAACTTTTCCATTACCCGGAAAATTCCGGGGATGAGGGATTTTTTTTCCGGGTTTGAGAGAGTCATCTCGGAAGTGCTCTGCACCAATTGTTCTGGGTAACAGAGATATAACTACCCATATTTGTTTATTATACTAAATGCAAATCATGGGTATACAATACACACTACATAAAGTATATGCAAGGGTACAGTATAAGTACTGTACAAAATTGAATGTTGTTTTTGATCTGCTACTTTCTGCCAAACTGTTCTTATAGCTAACTACACACAGCAAAGCTTATAGCTGGGGACTGAATTTACAAACTACTATCCCTCTCTGTTGCAATTGTTACCCTTAAAAAGGGAGAGAAGTAAAATTTGCCCTCTAGATTGCCTCTAGAGGCAAGAGGTTCAATAGAGCCATGTCTACCTAACCTGTGCTTACATTTGCCACAGCTGACATGGCTGCCACATTGGACCACGAACAATCTTCCATGTTCAGTTCCTGTGTAATACCCATGTTGAGTGGGTTTGCTCCCTCTAGCTCTCATCTCTGGCATTTATGAGATATTTAGTGGTACGTTCCACAGTTTTCTGTATCATTAATGTAGCAGTTGAATATACTGTACCCTTATTCATATTGTTTGTAAGTTTGTTTATACTGTTTGCTGCTCCAACCTTTACCAAGTCTGAATTTTTACCATTTGTATTTATTAATTTATTTAATATTTTACCTATTTATAAATATTTTTTTTCAAATTTAGATTTACTAGTTTTACTATTTACTGGAATTTTTTTTAGAGTTGCCAGGAAATATCTTGGGTCAGTCGGGTAACCAGAAATTTACAATACAATACAGTATACAGATAACCCACGCTATATGAATGGTCACTATGATTACTGTACAGTACGGTATTGTATTTGACCTTTTGTAACAAGAAATTATGTTTATTTATATCTCCTGTCTTGCTCAGGCATTATCCAGTAGGTGTGCTGTTTGACCTTCACTGTGGGGGTGCAGCACTGCCCTGGAGTCTCACAGCCCATTTCTCACACTTCCCAGATCAAGACCTTATCAGATGCCCAACCAGGTTTGTCTTTTGCTCTAGTCTTAAACTTTTTGTAATATATTTTTAATATTTAGCTATTATTTACCATTGTGTTTTTGAGCATATGCAAATAAATAATGTAATTTGCCAGGCATGGGTAAATTTTGTAAGAAAATATTCCAATTACTGTACAGTATACAGTACAGTGGTCCCTCGGTTAACAAACACAATTCGTTCCACAGAGTTGTTCGTTAACCGAAAATTCCGTTAACCGAATCCATTGTTTCAATGGGATATCGGGTAATTGGTTCCAGCTCACAGAAAAGTACATGCAAAGCAAAAAAAAAAATGCAGTAAAGTACACTTACTTTGAGGTGTGTATGTAGAAGGTTCCTGGTTGATGATGATGATGGGAATTAGAAGTGGGGTGGAGGAGAATGGAGAAAAGAAGGAAGTGGGGATGGAGGAGAAATCACCCTTCAGGGGACCCATGCTTGATGCAGTCGCCAATAATATTTTAAGTTCACTAGGTGTAATTCAAGATTATTTTATTTAAATCAACACTGCACTGCACTATATATTATCAATATGTTAACTAAATTTCAGAATAACCAATAATTTCAATGTAAAGGTGCAAAAATATTCAAGACGCCAACAAAATCGATGTTCGCTCCACTGTCAACAAAGCCAAACTGACGCCGGGTGGCTGAGTCAAGCGGCTGATGGGCGCACAAAAAACTAGTTCCCTGTACTGCATATATTATCAATATGTTAACTAAATTTTAAAATGACTAATAATTTTAATATAAAAAATGAAAAAATATTAAAGCACAATTTCTTGATATTTACTCCACTGGAAACGAATGTAAATATAAAACAGATTACTGAATTGGCAGACTAGCCCATCAGCTGCTCAGCTGATGCTCACAATAAAACGTGCTGTTCGTTAGGATTTCGTTAATCAAAGTTTTGTTCGTTAACCAAATTGATCCTTATGGGAGGTAATTCATTAACCGAAATTTCATTAATCGAACCGTTCGTTAACCGAGGGACCACTGTACTAATGTTACTCTTTCAGATTCTGCTACTTTTTGGTGATATTTCGTAATGGTTGCTAAGGAATGACAGATTTCACAAACTGATTTATTTATTTTTTTATTATTTACTTATTTATTTATTTCATAGAATGCTACAAGTATAACTTTTAAAAAGTTATGAATTGATCTTAAAATTTTATTTTATGGCTAAAGTATGTTACTTGAGTTAAAGCATAATACTAAATCTAAATCCAGGAGAACTGATGTTAGTGTCTGGGACTAATCTTACAATCAGATTTTCTTCTCTATACCACTTGATTTATTTATTTTTATTTTTTGCTCTGAATAACTCTTTCCTTATATTTCAGTGTACTATACCATATCCAAGGTAATCAGTTTTCACCCCTAAATAGATAATTAGCTACTGGTGTAAAAGATGTGTTCTGCTTTGATACAGTAGTCCCTCGTCAACTGTGGGGGTTAGTTTCCTGGAAAGCCCCGTGGTTGGTAAATGCACGGTTGGTAAGACTAAAGGCTTATGGGAAATAGGGGGTTGGGTTCCATGGCTGCCGTTGACACTCATCAAAGCCTAACTCAGTTGCCTGTTCCTTTGCAAGACAATACAGTCATGCGCCGGTTAACGTCCGATCGCATATACGTCCGTGGCGCCCCCCCCCCCCAAAAAAAAATCCGTGACGCCTGCTGGACCACCACTCCACGACCCACCTGATGGAGACACGATGATCCTCCCCATACTGGTCAGATATTATGTGTTAAAGGAATATGCTTCCTTCCTTAAGCTTTTTTTAAGCATTTGCCTCCAGGTGTAATGTTAACCTACATCTATTGAGGATGAAATCTTTTACCTACAAATTGACAATAACACATTTGCTGTAATCAGACATATCTATTTGCCTCAAATATTGCAACCCCAGTTGCAATTGGGGTTGCAATTTCAAATTCTGTGGCATTACTAAGAATAACGAAGTCTCGATGCACTCGAAGATTAAGAGAGAAAACGGAGGACTCAGGCGTCCTGATGTGAGAGAAAACGGACTTGTATGATGGGGGACCAAACAAAAAAAGCATAGCTACATGTTTTGTGGACTACAGTATTAAGCGTACCCTTTTCATCACTTTGTAATAAACCTAGCCATGCCTATGTGTGTTTATGATATTTACCATAACATTATATATATATTTAGTGGGTCTAAATGGTCGTAAAATGGGAAACTTGGGGTTGGGTCTTGGGTGCCTGGAACCAATTAGAATAAATCTCATAGGTTCTGTACTTTCGTTATCGGCGGGGTCCCAAGTTAGGTGCAATAACCAAGGGATGACTGTACTGTATATACTTGTGACACTGGCCAGTTGCTTCTGGTGTTATGGTACAGGGGTACCGAGTGACAGCACTAGGATCCCGCTTCCTCTATCAAGGAATAAACAATTAAAATTTAAATTGAAAAAAAAAACATTCAAATAATGGGACATAGCGAACCTAAATGGCCCTAGAGCGGGCACAGTCACGTATGCATCGCGTATTCTTATAGATTGTGCTGCCAGGCGTACATTATCCAGTGAATATTGTACAGTAACAATGGACCTAAGTGCAAACCTGTATTGTACATGTACTAAATGATTACGGTACTAAAATTGTTATGTCTATTGCAAATATAGCTTGTTTATACAGGTATTCAAATAAATTACTATCTTACAAGAATACAAGCTATGTAAGTTATATTCACCCAGGTCATTTGGGTGGCAAATTATGAGAAGAGCTTAGTCACTCTTAAGTAATGATAAATAAACACCCAGGCCTTCAGCACCAACTGTCAAATCTTATCTCAAATAAATAAAGACTCTGTCATCTCACCTCACGCTCGGCTGGCTACCTCCCTCCCTGTGTTCCCAGACAAAAGATTGGTGATTTCTTTGTTTATTTTATATAATATCTCGGACTAAAGTTAGGATAATATAATTTGCATTGCTGAAATCCTTGCAAGACAGATTAATTTAAATTTAAGCGTTGTATATTTTGCTCAAGATATAAAAAATGTAGTACATTAGTGTACAATACTGTAGTACATTTTATAAAAAGTTTTTCAACTGTATTTTTGGGTAGATTTACATAAATTTCATTTATTTTCATCCATTTACATGCACACACCATACAAAAAGAAACGTAAAAGAAATAAATGACCTAAGTGCAAAGCTGGAGTGCACATGTACTAATTTGATTATGGTACTAAAATTGTTATGTCTAGTGCGAATTACAACATGTTTATATTCAAATAAATCAGTATCTTACAAGAATCCCAGCTATGTTAATTATATTCTCCTAGGTCATATCACTGCCATTTTAAAATGAGAGAAGCTTAGTAGGACTGTTAAATAAACACACAGAGACCTTCGGTTCAAACTTATCACCTCAACCCCCCACCCCCCCAACCCCTCGCTGGCTGGCTCCGTCCGTCCCTCCCTCCCTCCCAGCCAGGGTTTTAGGCTTACAGTTTTTATCTTATATAATATCTCAGACTAAAGTTAGGAGATTATAATTTGCATTGCTGGAATCCTTGCAAGACAGCCAATAATTTGAATATAAATGTCATATATTTTGCTCAAGAGATAAAATTGTTGTACATTAGTGTACAGTACTGTAGTACATTTTATAAAAAAGTTTTTCAACTGTATTTTTGGGTAGATTTACATAGATTTCTTCATTTATTTTCATCCATTTACATGCACACACCATACTAAAAGAAACGTAATAGAAATAAATGACCTTAGTGCAAAGCTGGAGTGCACATGTACAGGTTGTACCTCTCTAGGCCGGCAACCTCGGGACCTGACCGGTGCCGGACCATGGAAATTCACCCTTTTCCTGGATAGATAGTAACTTGTGCTTACGCTTGGAAGCACTAGCACCACTTTCTCTGCTTCATGGTCTCTTTGAAGACATATTGAAGGGTTAAATGTCGTACAGTAGCTTCTCAAATTTCGCGAGGTTTTAATTCAACGTTTTCTGTTTGAAAACACAAAAAAAAAACACATTTATAAATTTTGACGGAGGAAACTCGAATTTTGACGGGTTTGAACGGCCCACCAACGTTCAGACGACATGCACAATTGTATAAACAGCGTCATTTCTCTTATGTACAAAAGATTCATTATTGTTTATTACTGAAAGTCTTTTTGATTGAATTAATGTTTGTGTGTGCAAAATGAGCAATACAATTCATTAATAATACGTAGAATATTAAAACACGAGGAAATGAGACAGCATTGTTTTCGTTGATTACAAAACTAGTGACTGACTGGTTATACATATAAAACTGAAGAAAATATGACCCTGGTTGTAGCTGTAGTAAAATTAATATGGTTGTTTTAGGTAATGTTATTTAATGTTAATAAATGGAACAATAGAAGTAGCTAACGATAATGGTAAAGAAAAAAGAGAGATCTCGTATGTAAGTGCGCACACGTGAAAACATATCGTCATTACTTTACATAAGAATATGAAAGCAACACTTATTTACTGTTCATATATATTTTAAATAATGTTTCTGAATTTGTTTTTATTGAATTAATGTTTGTGTGTGCAAAATTAACAATACAATTTATTAATAATACGTGGAACATTAAAACACACGAGGAGACGAGACGGCTTCCGGCATTGATTTTGTTAAAGCTTACAAAGCCAGTGACTGATTGGTTCTACATATAAAACTGAAGAAAATAAGACCCTGATTGTAGCTGTAGTAAAATTAATGTAAAAAAATTAATATGGTTGTTTGAAGTACCTGTAATGTTATTTAATGTTAATAAATGGAACAATATAAGTAGCTAACCATTAATGGTAAAAAAAAAGTGAGACTGCGCGTATGTAAGTGCGCACATGTGAAAACATATCGTCATTACTCTACATAAGAATATGAAAGCAACACTTATTTACTGCTCATATATATTGAAGGGTTAAATGTTGTACTCTGTATAGACAAGCAGAGAGAGAGAGAGAGAGCAGCTGAACTGCCGGATGTAAACAAACCTTAATTTCCCGCGGCTTTGTTGTTTTTTGTTTTTTTTACGGGGATTAGCCCACCTGGGCATAGGTCACTGACCCACATTGGGGCCTGAGGGGCAAAAATTTAATACTCCTGTAATAATAATAATAATTCAGATAAGTAAAAAAAAAAAAAGAAGCTGCCTATCTACCTATTGGACAAACTAAAATCGTTCCGGACCACGGGAGTTTCCGGACCACCGAATGCCGGACTAGAGAGGTACAACCTGTACTAATTTGATTACGGTACTGAAATTGTTTTGTCTAGTGCAAATTATAGCATGTTTATATTCAAATTAATCAGTATGTTACAAGAATCCCAGCAATGTTAATTATATTCACCCAGGTCATTTCACTGGCTTTTTATAAGAGAGAAGCTTAGTCACTTAAGAACTGATAAATATACACGCGTTAGACCTGGGCCTGTGCCAACTGTCAAATGTACTACCTCCCCTCCCCCCACACCCCCTCGCTCGCTCCCACCTCTCTCTCCCCCATCTGCCCGGCATTGCTGGAATCCTTGTAAAACAGTGAATAATTTTAATATAAACATCATGTATTTTGCACAAGAGATAAAAATTAATCACCTGTATCACATTACAGTTGTGATTTAAGAGTAAAAGTGTATATGTACGTACAGGTATATAGTATTCCACATACACCTTAGTATAAATACAAAGTTTCTGTGATGATCGGACAACGTCCATTTCGGTTAACGTCATGTTTCCAAGAACGTATCTAGGACGTTAACCGGTGCATGACTGTACTTGCATTGTACATTTCATTAAGTTTAAGTCCTACTGCACCCATCTTTGGTTATCCTCTCTTAGGGATTATGGGGAAACTTTTGTCGTGACCCTCGACATCTCCAAAGCATTTCACAGGGTATGGCACAGATCTTTGCTTTCTAAACTTCCCTCTTATGGTTTCTCCCCCACTTTGTTCTCTAATCTCTAGCTTCCTTGAGAACAGATCTATGGCATTTGTTGTCGAGGGATTGGTCTCTCATTCTTTCTCTACCAATAGTGGTGTCCCACAGGGTTCTGTTCTTTTACCTACTCTCTTCCTTCTTTTTATCAATGATTTTCCTCACACTGTGACTAATTCTATCCATTCTTACGCTGATGAATCTACTCTTCGCTTTTCTTCACATTTTTCCCTTTTCCCTAATTCTCAAACTAGATCTGTTTCTAGAGCTAATATCATTTCATTTATCAATGCAGATCTGTGCAGCATCTCCGAATGGGGAGGTAGAAACTTGGTTAAATTCAATAGTAATAAAACTAAGTATTTACCAATTATATTTTCTAAATTACCGGTAGATGATCTCCCACCAATCACAATTTAGGATGCAGTCATTCTGCCATATTCTAGGCCTCATCATTTCCTGGAATAACCCATTATAGTACATCCTTCTTTCCTCACACAGCCAAACTGTGGAATGCTCTGCCTTCTGTGTTTCCACACTCATACAATCTGTCTCACTTCAAAATGATGGATTTCCAGTATCTTCGTGGTGTAGATTAATGTATTTTTCTTTTCTATTTCTAATTTCTTTTTACTCTTATTTTTTCACCTCTAGGCCCCGTTGTGGGTCAATGACCTGTGTCCGGGTGGGCTATTCCCCGTAAAAAAAAAGGACGATGGTGGATGAGGATGACACTAGCCCTTATCATACTCACTTTTCTTAATCATACGAATTGAGGATTTGTTCACCCCCATGGCAGGTCCTACTGAAGCTACACTTTTGCCACTTGCTAGTCTACTGAGCACTTACAATTTTCACTTTCTTTTCATCTTTATCACTAACACTCAATGCACACTTTGGGGGCCATCGATAAAGACAAATTAATGTTATTATTGTATAAAATACATAAATTTGATATGGAGTTGATGCAGTTTTCCTTCCTAATTGCTTAAATTTCACAGGGAGGTAGTGGAATCTCACTTCCTGTCATCATTGAAGGAAGCTGATGGCCTAAAACATAGAGGACAAATCATCACCAACATGCAGGGCAAAGACCACAAGCAGCTTTGGATGGGTCTTTGTAATGGTAATCATCTCTTCTTGAATTTTTACAAGTTTTCATATAATATATACTTTTATCTAAACCACTTAAGTATGATGATTTAACCCCTTGATTACATGGACTTAACTCCTTAATTATTCCCTTAAGATGATATTTTATTCATAGAATTACATCATCATATGCAAAGGATTAAATGTGAAATTTTAGAGAAGTTGGACAAATCATTAGCTTTTTAGGATTTTTACCGCTACCTAAAATTGCTACAGGGTATTTAAATTTCAAATTCCTCATTGCATGTTAGGCTAGTATCATTCCATAATCATTACTTTATGTTGAACTCATATGACAAATTATATACAATTCTGTTTGTGTGCAAGTTTGGAAAGGCAGTTGATTCATTATAATGGTGATAGTTACATTTACAGTCTCAATAATCGACCTGGGACAGTTATCATTACGATAATCCATCTACAATAATGCATACAAGAAATATTAGCACATTTAGTCAGGATGAGTTCACCAGGCATATACCACTAGTTAGTATTCAAAACAAATGCTGGTTGGCTACACTCTGACTCTGCGTCAGGGCTCGTACCAGAGAGTGAATCCGTGAACCCGCACTCTCTCTCCCCGGAATGTCTCACACTCAGATATTAATCTCGCTGTATTAAAGACACCCTGCATCAGGCATCTTGTCTGCAGGTGGCTACCGATCCTCGGCAGCAGCAACAACAAATATAGTGCCTGATAGACAAGGAAGGAGCGTCAAGAAGTAACTAAAGTCAAAATACAATAGTCACAAAACACATCTGGCAAGGGAACGAATGGATCATTCAACACAGAAAGTTCCCTGTTACATTACAGTATCATTTGATACATAAGACATTCAACTTCAGGGTACTTCAAAACAGGACACTGATATATTCAACAAAGTTCAACTGAGTCAAATTCACTTAATATGGCAGTGTGCCACGTGGTACATACGTGATAGATGACGAAGGAGCGTCAAAAAGTGAGCGCTCGCCTCTCATACATTAGTTATATATGGTACGCCATGATGCCACAACAAGAACTTACGTACATATTCATATGACTCAGTTGTGGTACACATTGGGCTATGAGAATCAGTGTCATGGATCACATCAATTTCTTAAGGCTTACGCTTACAATCTAAACAGTGTTTGAGTTTGCAATGCAGTACAGTAATTAAATTGCAAACAGTGTGTAGGATGGCACTTGCACTTTGTACAGATTCAGTAAACACCCCACAGATAACCATTGAAGCCTGGCCATTACATTTCAGGGCAGTGACCAGTTAATAGGTTTCTCTCAAATGATTAATGACATTCTTAAATACAAACGTGACAATAATTTCAATACAGTCATCAGATTCTCTGATGACTGCAAATCAAAACAATCTGACTTCAGTGGTGAATAGAATTCTCGTAACGTACCACAGGGCAGGAAAAGGATTCTCACCTCTATTGCAAACTTTAACAGTCGACTTACTTGAAAATTTCACTGATACTAAATTCAGATGAAGCTTTCAACATCATTCACAATGGAATTTTTCAGTTATCTGCAGGTATATATATATGTTACAGTAACACATACGCATTCATTCGTAATTTTAAATATAAACATAAACACAGGATACGAGAGATCGTGAAACGCACGATAGAGAAAACAGATGTCTCGGTAGGCGGACTCACTAAATAAGTTATAGCTGCATGTTTTATGGGCTATTGAGCGTAATATGAATCATCTGATTTTACATTAACAAACATGTATGACTGTGGTCAGTACACTCTGCCATAATATCTCAAACATGCTGGGTTGTTTTGGGTTTTAACTTTTAACTGAAAGCCAAGGATTCCCAACTCCACCCCCATATGTGCAAAAATGAAATGCAATGATATCCTCATTAGCAGGAATAATTGGTGCAGAGTAGTTCTGGGATTGAGAGATTTCTGGGTATGGAGATGAATTTTATCATCTGTGGAAAAAATCAAACATCCCCCCAAAATTACAGGTACTGTACTGGGGAAAGTTTTCAGAGAGACCAAACTACACATTTCGCACGGAGAGACGCAGAGCTGTATTTGTTTATGCAAACACCACTGTATATTTACAATATATTGTAAATTAACCAAATACTGTATGTAACCGCCTTAGTTAAGGATGGTCGGGTGACGGGCAAGTCGAAGGGAATGATTGAAACCCGCCTTTTGACCCACAATATTTATTGATATGGTCAAAAACCTGCAGTGAACAAGGACCAATCCTGGATTTTCTGGTGAATGGAGAGGCAGTCTGGAGTACCTCAGAGAGTCCCCCCAAAAAAACAAATTCCAAAGTATTGAAATCTGGTGTATAGAGGTTCTTCTGTACTGTAAAAGATATCTCAAACGAGGGTCAATGAGAGAATACATCAGAAGTGAGCAGGGAGAGAAACCATACACATTATTTGTTTTGTGCTCAGTATGTCATCCCTGGAATAACTCACCTGGGATATCATGTGGAATGGATACCGTACTGCATAAACATAAATGTTACTATGAATTGATATCATGTGAAAGATATATTCATTACAATCAAACCTACATCAGGGGAGTAACCATGAGGTTAAACTAAAACAGGAATAATTAAACCTGTGAAAAGGGATTGAAGTTAAAATGTAAAAAATGAAAATGTGTTGTATCATGTTTATAAGGACTTAACTGTGATAGAATTAGATGGGTCTAATCCTAAAGCTTGGCAGGTGTCAGTAGTTATGGTATAGCCAGGGTTAGTCACAGTTTTGTTACTTTCTTAGATTAACAAAAACTTGCATCCTTATTTATCATGAAACTATAAATAGCTGCATAAAATGATACTGTACGGTATTTCTTATTACTGCATCTATTGCTAGTGGTAATTGAAATTGATGTCATTCCGACTTTCAGACAAATTTGACCAATTTTGGGCCATAAACCGTAAGCTAATGGAGTGCACGCCAGAGGAAGGGTTCAAAAACATTCCTTTTCGTCTGCATTCTCTTTGTAAACCACCGATACAGAGACTCATTAAGCCACTTGCAGATGATGGTCGAAAGATAACTTTAGGAGATATTCTTCAGGATTATATGCCAAACACATTACAAGAAGGTATGATAAATTTGGATTATTTTGTGATATCTCCACATAATGAACAGTTTCTAAAGATACAGTACCATGTCATGGCTAACTGAATCATATATCCCACTAATAAATGAAAAATTCTCTTATTTTTATTTTGGTGCATAATCATCTTTTGCTGTCAGATTTTGTTTTTCTTCTTAAACTTGTGTAATTTTTTATCCTTTTCCTTTAATCACTTTTACCTTTTAAACAAATTCCTTGATGGGACATGTTATATGGAGGCAGTGTCCATTTAAACCTCCATCTGTCCATAAATGTTTCATGACCTTTCTAATCTTGTGCCATCAAAGATATCACTTGTAATATAATTAACTTTACATAACAGGTACTACAGTATCACTAGATGATGCATAATGTTCAGTACTGTATAACAATTGTGTTCCTTAAAGAATAAGGTCAAAGATGAAAAGACTTAATAATGTACTTGTCACCTTCCACTGACTTGTTGTGATTAATGAATGAATTTGCTGTCTTTTGCCTTTTTTAATCACCTAATTTACCTTGAGCATTTTGCTTGTAAGGCCCTTCATTTTTGTATGGTTAACTCAAATTTCAGAGTACAGTGGGGTATGCTATAACAAACGGATCCTACTACGAATATTCCTATAACGAACGGTTTTACCTATAAAATTGAGAATGCTATAACGAACGAAACTCCTACAACGAACATTATTTAAATTTTTTTTTTTTTTTTTTTAATAATTTATTGTTTTTTATTACAGTACAAGTATTAATGATATTCTTTATTTCAGGGGTTTAGATGCATATTTATGCACTTTTTTACAATTTTTACAATTTTATATTATATTTTTCAGTGTTAAGTGGTTGTATTTGGGGGCCTGGAACGGATTAATCCTATAACGAACGAATGCTATAATGAACAAGGTTCTAGAACCAATTAGATTCGTTATAGCATACCCCCACTGTATTTTGATCATTGTAGTTGGGTGAAAGATAGAATCTCTCTCTCTCTGCCAGAATCATCAACAACTAGCCTTACCCTTCACTTGCTCTGATTGTTTTATCTCAACTGTCTTTGAAAACAATTTCCTCACAATCTACAGTACTTTAAAAGTATACAATATTTTATTTGATATGAGTAAATTGGGAAGTTATTTATTCTAGAGAGAGAAATTTTTCTTCAGTATAAGTACAGTACAGTAGTTTAATTAGAGATTACTGTATCAAATTAATAAAAGATGAAATTAAATATAAATATAAGTAATGTAAATGTGTTTTCAGGTGACCGGGTGATAATTCAGGGCATTGAGGCACCACGGGACACACCTATACAATGGCTCAGTGAACACTTGAGCCATCCAGATAATTTCCTCCACATTTGTTATATTCCTGCTCAGACTTGAGGATTCATTATTCCATTTCCCTAAGTTATCCTGTTTTAAAAGAACATTGATAACTTTTAATAATTTATTACTCTTTTTTTTTTACTGATTTCATGTTCTTGTAATATATTGTTTGTTACACTATCTACCGTTGAATTATGTTTGAAAATTTATGTTACCGAAGCTTAAAATTACTTGTTTTGGATTTTATTAAATATTCCTGACACAGTACAGTAGTTACTTATTCGCCAAATGGTACTGAAACAAATAGATTATTTTACTCTAGGTTAGTACCAGTAAACCCTTGATAACTCAGAATACACAGAGTTCTAATCGAATTATCAAGGCACTTTCCTCCTGGTCTTTTGTCCTTCCCCAATACCCCATGTTTTGGCCAAAATAACCTACCATAATCAGAAAATTTGCAAAAAAATTAATGCTTACCAGCATTGCAGGTGAAGGATGAGAATAATTCAAGGTTGTGGTGCCATGCAATAGGTGTCAGTACAGTACAGTATATACAGTAAGCACTTACATCACCAAATTTACCAGAAAATGCCTGGAAGGTGTTCCCTAAACCAGTGCTAGAGTTAACACTTAGACCAGCTATTTTTCCACTTTTAATTTTGGGTAGACATACATATTTTTTTTCTTTTTTTACATACACACAATCTTTCATACAGAATGTGCAAAAAAATTATTATTATAAGATCAAAAACATAAAGGGATTAACATTTCTTATGTGGGCAGGAGTCAGCACTGGGTGGTCATTTTTAAACTCATAATTTCGGGTAGATATGCGTAATATTCTTCCTTTTTTTCACAATCTTTCATACAGAATGTGCAAAAAAATAATACCTGTAATAATTACAGTATTATAAGGTCAAAACATAGAGGGAATAACATTTCTTACGTGGTGTAGTGGGGTTGTGGAGTGGGGATAGAGCCTCCCGTGGATCCTGCTTGGGTTGCATGTATTGTGCCATTCCAAGAGTGCGTCACCATATCTTGGAAAATTGTGAGTTATGTAAAAAAAAAAAGGAAAAAATCATTTACCAATTAATATTTTTACTGCCACTCCGAGTTATATTGAATTACCAGATCATAATCCGAGTTATCAAGGGTTTATTGTATACCTTTAATTTATTTTTATTGTGATCCTCAAAACTATGACATCTGTGTGATTTTGCAGTGTTCAGAATTGTGTAACTGCCTAAATGGCTGGTAAGTGGTAAAATGATAAATTAAAGAAATTATATTAAAATATAACTTGGTAATGGGAAAAAGACATGTAGATTATTAAAGTTACAATTGTGAAAAGATTAAAGAGCAGTAAAAAAAATGCATTATGAAAATGTTGCCTCATCATATGCATTTTTGTCACTCGAATATACAGTACAGTACAGTACAGTACTTATAAATATTACTACAGTACTGTAGTTTTATAACTATGGTGTTACACTATCCTGTTTATTAGAAAACATAGAAGTGTGGTAAGCATCATTTTATAATTGTAAAACTTGTATGTAACTTCCAATCATGAAACTTGTCACCTCCATTGTACAGTATACTTGTTACTATCTGAGTACTGTACTGTATTGAGTATTTTATTGCAGTCAGTAAATAAAAACAAATGCAAATTACCTTTAACAGGTTTATGACATTTATAATGTTTTTTTTCTTGAGCAGGACATATTTTCTCAATTTTCTTTTGTGCTATACTGATAAATTATGGTAAAATTAACCCAAAATAAATAATATTCACTGGACAGCACTTACAATTTAATATATCCTTTTTTAATGCACTGTAACCCATGGCTAACTAATACAAACGTGGAAAATGGCCATGAAGCATTAATGATGATGATGTACACTTTAGGACTAAAGTCATGTACAGCTGCACAGATCCTACACTAGTGACCTATGCCAATGAGAAAAATCATAAGTTAAAACTTATGGTATGATTTAAATAAGTTTAATAAATTAAAAAATTAAATTACAATAAAATACTGTGCTCCTTTACAAATCACATGCAGTTAAGTACTGTACCCCTATTGTAGTTAAACTTTTTCCTCATTGCCAAAGCTCACTAGTGTACTGTAGGTTCCATGCAGCTGTCCATAACCCTAGTGTACAGTACATGTATTCATTGTACAGTACAGTAGGGTCAGGATATATCGTGAGATAGGGTCCAAGGATGTTCGCTATATACTAAATCGTGATATGTAATCAATGGGGAAAGTAGGGTTAGGTTCTGGAGGCCAATAAAAGTGACTAAACTTGACATAAAATGGCACAGTCTAAAGTTAGCAGAATATAAATTACACTGCTGGAACCCTTGCAAGACAGCGAATAATTTGAACATAAACATCATATATTTTGCACGAGATACAATTTTGAGTCATATGTACTAATTAAGTACAGTAAACTAAAAATTTTGTCTTGCAAACTATAGCATGTTTATATTCAATTTAATCATTATCTTACAAGAATTCCAGCAATGATAATTATATTCTTTTAAGTCAATTCATTGACATTTTATAAGAGAAAGACTTAAACTCCCCCTACATGACAGATAAATAAATGACACTAGGTAACCATTGTCTGGCTCCAGACCAGCTGTTATAATAAATTAACTCCCCTCCGGCTTCTGGTAAGAGTGACCTTGGTTTTTAGATTTAAAGTTTTGATCTTATAAAATGTCACAGGCTAACATTAGCAGAATATAAATTGCATCGCTGGAATCCTTGCAAGGCAGCGAATAATTTGAATACAGTGAACCCTCACTTTACGTGGTCAGTTGAACCCTGTAAAGCGAGAAACGCGTAAAGTGAACAACATAACATATGGGATTAATTGAAATAGAGACCAGGCCGACCCCCAAACTCCACTTTTTCCGACACAATACCTATGTTCTAGTAAAAATAACATCTTAATTTTATGATGGTACAGGCACACAATTAATATTTAAGAGAAATAGAGAAATACAGTTGCCAAGTTAATGTCCATTCAAATAATGGACTCGACTCCCTCTCCCTCTTCTCACACTCCTGGCTCTTCCCTTTCTGAGAAATGTTTGGGGGAAAACACTAGATTTTAAGGTATAGTAATAAATAATACCTCAAACTAAAGTTAGGATAATACAATTGACATTGCTGGATTCCTTGTAAGACCAGGAATATTTTGAATATAAATGTCATATATTTTGCACAAAAGATAACATATTTACTCAGAGTAAACAAAATACTTACATTAGATCTAAAATTTGTATGTCTAAAGCAAAATCTCTGATGTTTATATTCAAAATGATTGTAGTGGCTCCTCTCCCCTACAACTCCCAACTGAGCTCCGGCCACGTGCCTACCAGCCAATCAGCGTACAGCCAGCTACGCCGAGAGACTAGGTCTATGCAGTGGAAGTAGGGGTACGATCGCCGACCTAGTCTCGACCTTCAACCTCCAGCTCAGGATCAGAGCGTTTCACACCTTACACTTAAGCCGCTGTGATTGGCCCTCTCGCTACGCTCACCCCAAATCCTGATCCTCGTAAATTGTATAAATACGGCCATGCCTGGCCAGGGAGACCATTCTACACTCGGCTACCGGACCAGCAACATCTCTCACAGCTCCTCACCACCCAGCTTTCTCAGAAACCTCCTCGCCCTACAGGTCCTCTGAGCAAGTTTCTCCTCACCTAGTCACTCCTAAGCACTGCGCTGTACAACAATATATATACAGAAAGCGCATTGTGAGTTTCTATCCTACCTCATTCCTGAGTGTGAAATATCTACATGTACGTACGTTTGTGTGCCCATACTAAGAGAATTGACAACTGGCCACATACAGTACGCTACATGATCATCAAATTGTAAGAATTCCAGCAATGTAAATTATATTCTGGCCGGGTAATTTTTATGAATTTTATGAGCTAAAACAAACTTCAGTTAATAAAAAAAAAAAAAATATTCTTCACGACACTATCTGTCAATCAAAAACCCCACCTTGCCTCCCCCCCCCTCTTCCCACCACGCCAGCTGGGTCGGTCGGTCCCTCCCTCCCCCCCCACCCCCACCTTCCCTCCCTACCAGAGAAATGTTTGGGAGAAACCAGAATATTTACCTTTTTAGTAATAAATAATACCTCAGACTAAAGTTAGGATAATATAGTTCACATTGCTGGATTCCTTGCAAGACCAGGAATATTTTGAATAGACACGTCATATATTTTGCACAAAAGATAACATATTTGCTCAGAGTAAACAAAATACTTACAGAAGATCTAAAATTTGTATGTCTAATGCAAAATCTATGATGTTTATATTCAAAATGATCATCAAATTGTAAGAATTCCAGCAATGTAAATTATATTCTGGCTGGGTAATTTGTATGAATTTTATGAGCTAAAACAAATATCTTCAATAAATAAACAAAATATACTTACCCAAATACTATCTGTCAATCAAAATACCCCACCTCCCCCCTCTTCCCACCCGCTCCCTGGGTCCCTCCCTCCCTCCCTACCAGAGAAATGTTTGGGTTATAACAGTATATTTACATTTTTAGTAATAAATAATACCTCAGACTAAAGTTAGGATAATATAATTGACATTGCTGGATTCCTTGCAAGACCAGGAATATTTTGAATATACATGTCATATATTTTGCACAAAAGATAACATATTTGCTTTGAGTAAACAAAATACTTGCATTAGATCTAAAATTTGTATGTCTAGTGCAAAATCTATGATGCTTATATTCAAAATGATCATCAAATTGTAAGAATTCCAGCAATGTAAATTATATTCTGGCCGGGTAATTTGTAAGAATTTTATGAGCTAAATAAAAAAATTATACTTCACCAGCGTATATAGATAGATGCACTGCGTAAAGTGGGAATTCCAGTTCTGGTTTAATGTAGAAACGCGTAAAGTGAAACCGTAAAGTGAAACCGAGGGTTCACTGTAGTAAAGCAAGGGTTCACTGTATAAACGTCATATATTTTGCACAATAGATAAAAATATTAGCACAATAGATAAAATATTTAGCACTTTGTAATAGAATTACTAATTACAACTAAAATTTGTATGTCTATTGTGAATTATAGCATGTTTATATTCAAACTAATCACTATCTTATAAGAATTCCAGCAATGTTAATTATATTCTCACATGTCAGTTCAGTGACATTTTATAAGAGAAAAACTTAAAGTCAAACATATAGCCTCACCTTCCCCTCCCTCCCTCCATCCTTCTGCCCCATCTTCCCAGCCAGGAATTGGTGGTTATAGGCTTACAGGTTTTATCTTATATAATACCACAGATTAAAGTTAGGACAATATAAATTGCATTGCTGAAATCCTTGCAAGACAGCAAATAATTTGAATATAAACATCATATATTTTGCACAAGATATAAAAATTAATCACCTGTATCACATTACAGTTGTGAGTTATGAGTTTTAGTGTACAGTATATGTAATATATAGTGACTTAAGGGCGATTTAGGAGTGTCTCTGACTTTACACGAGGTCCCAAGAAAGTAACCCTCGCCTAAGATGCGAGTCTACTGTATATTGGAATTTTTTTTATAATTTTGGTAGTACAGTAGTGATAAATTTGAAATATTTCCTGCACATTTTCCCTCGCTAAATAAAAAAAAATTATCGTTATATGTAGGAAAATTTCTATAATTTTGGTAGCCGCAATATAAATTTTTTTTTATATAAGGTCTATACTGTATATCCTGACCCTACTGTATAGGAAAGTTGGTGATGACCAATATTTTTTATTTTATTTATTTTTCATAAAATAACAAAGCAATTAAAATGTAATAACTTTGATAGATAGATAACTCTTAATACTGTACATCACATAACTCAAACTGATACTGTACAACAACAGTTGTACCCCCCGATCAGTAGTGGATTACAGTACAGTGGTCCCTCAGTTAACGAACACAATTCGTTCCAGAAGGTCGTTCGTTAACTGAATCCATTGTTCCATGGGATATTAAGTAATTGGTTCCAGCTCACCGAAGAGTACATACAAAGTAAAAAAAAATGCAGTAAAGTACACTTACTTTGAGGTGTGTATGTAGAAGGTTCCTGGTTGATGATGATGGGAATTAGAAGTGGGGATGGAGGAGAAATCACCTTTCAGTGGACCCATGCTTGATGCCGTCATTTCATCAATAAAATTTTAAGTTCACGAAGTGTAACTCAAGATTTTCTTTAAATCAACACTGCACTGTGCTATATGCAGTTAACCCTCACTTTACGCGGTTAATGTAACCCGGAGGGTACTGTGGGGTTCAAGATGTTTGGTTCACACTCAGGATGGGATGGAGAAAGGAAACTCACAATGTGCTCTCTATATACATGTTGTATTGGATGTACAATGCAGCTTGGTGCTGGGAAGGCAGCATGGTTACAAGCGTGATGTAGAGAGAGCTGGTTGGTGAGGACGCTCAGAGAAGGACAGCTTGTGGGTCGCCATGCTCGCCAGCGGGAGAGAGTACCGCCAGGCAGGCGGAGGAGGAGCGAAGGCCGCCAGGCAGCGGCGGAGGAGGTGTTGCTGGCTGGTTGGTGTAGGTAGAAGGAGAGACAGATCACCACGAGGTCAGGTCTTAAATAGCGGGGGTAGGCGTGGCTTAGCAGTTGACCCCCGCTCCGTGGTGTATGGCGGCGCTGGTTGACCTAGACCACGAGGCATACACTGGGGAATTGGTGGGGTCGGCTAGGCAGCGACAAACAGCGTTTGTAGGGGAGAATTCCAC